TGAGGTCGCTAGGGCCGTTTTTCCCAATCACGCCGTTCCACTTTTCAACGTCTACTCCGACGTGCGCATCTTTGAAAATATGATATAATAACATTGCTCAGACTTGTACATAAATATTGTCATTCAGTGTAATAGACGGTGGCATTAGTCGTCACATGTTGCTTCATATCTCTCGAGACAGCAAGCAGTGGATTATTACCCATTGCCTTGACATATGCAACGAATCAGATACATTGCATCATCTACTTTTATTACCGGACATTCACTGATTCCTTGATCAGCGTTTTGTTTTATGATTATGTCTGCTAGTGATGATGGCGTTGCTACTGCTTATACTGCGATAGCTTTGAGAACAAGGGGGACTTTAGTTAGCATTAAATATTCAGCATGATTGTTCCAACTAGCTCTGCTGTATTAGTCAATTCTGACATGTAGATATTTGTGAGTCTGACCTACTTATATGTTGTTATGGTTATCATAATTAACTTGGTAAATATGATATGCATTTGCAATGATAAAATTCTCGTATATCGGACTGTTTTAAATGTTCTTTTGTAGAGAAACATCAAGATCGTAGCTTTTGCAAGGTTGCGGAGCTCTTCAAATACTCTTAGGAAGTAAGGTATGAAAATAGGAGGATGATAAACAAATGATGACATATGGCTAAATTTTGGTCATTTGACTTCCGCATTTACTGATTATTTGGTATGTCCATTTTTAAGACATGCAGAAAAAGATGTTGAATATCGTGGCAACGTTTACGGTCGTCCTCATGGCTACGTAGCGCATACATTACATTATGTAATGTGTTTCAGTCGGCACCAACGAAATAAATATTCATTTCTTTAGCAAAAGATGGCTTTAGATGTGATGGAATTTTTGAATTTTAATCTTGGCTCGGATTGAAAATTAATGAAGTGGACAAAATTTCATAATGCTGGTAACACAGACATTAAATTCAATAAGCGAAATGCAGATATTCGTTAGAAGGCTGCAGCCTATTGTCGACATTAAATAAAGTGAAACCGTTGATGATACGTGTTATTGAGGCACTTATGTATGGCAGATCTTTAGTAAGAATTCTTCAAAACATAAGGTCTTCTGATTCCGTTGTTAATGGCACAAAGTTTTGGCGAATAGGATTCGTTTATGCCGACGTTTCGAGCACGCTACAGCGTTCATCAGGGCACTAAATTTTGTGCGCGTTCCGTTGACGTGATCTGTTATATCTCACTTTCCACTGAATTCTGTCTGGTGGTTAGCAGGTTTCGGCGTCATATCCTTGAGGGTCTTTTTTCATAGTTATTAAGATTATAAATTTTACAGCATAAGAGATCAGCAGAGTTCTTCTGTAGTTTGGGGAACTTAATTTGTTTGTCTTTTATGCAAGCGAAACAATAGTCAATGCGGTTAAAAAATATGCTTTTCTTAGCATAATAATGACGCCAGATGTCATAATCTGTTCCAAACAGTGGGTGAACAATATTGGCTCGCATTGGCTGATTTTTGAGAATGATGCCTATTTGTATCTGTTTCAGGATGTTATAAGTTCGCGATCTTGAATCTTCCATTCACTGTAATTCCAAAAGTCGTCATTCTGTTCAGAGATTCAACACTTTTACGAAGTTTTCGTCACACCTTTGAATGAATACGGACTGTTATTGATTATCATTCATTTCTTCCGGATTTGGTATTCACAATATCATTCTTTTGGACAGATTCAGCTTAAATATATGAGGAGTTGTGTTAATCCTGATTAAAACTGCTTAGTCATCTGAAAATTTCAGGCGTAATAACAAGCCCTCACAATGCAGTGTCTTACTGGACGCTACTTTAATGCTACTTACGCTCAAATACATGCTATTCCTGTTTGTGATTCCTAAGTTTGGTCGTTTCCTACCCTTAATGACGCGGTAATCGAGGATTGCGTTCTCGGCAGCAGAGCTTTAAGCTGGTGTATATCTCTAAGTTGACTTCGAAGATTGATACAGTTTATGCTTATGTATATTGTATCTCGATATAGTTAATCAATTTCGTTCCACATAGCAGCAGTTTTTTTTTAATTTAACAGTTATGCTTTGGTCTCGTATCAGGTAGATCAAGACAAAATGCAACCGTAGTTGCGCGCATCAGGCGTCACAGACGTACGTCTTGCACACTCTCAAGCAGAATCGCATAACAACATTTGGTCCCCGTTGTTTGCTGGTCAATTACTTGCGATCCGTTTCTCCGCTTGTTGCTCTCAGTCATACTGGAAAGAGAGATTAATTCTTTGCTCAGTGGTACTTTCAGTTGGTTGAAAGAGTTACATCACGTTGTGATTGGAATCCTACACTTTTGAAGTACAGTGCCAGACTATAGTCCACTTCACTGCTGCTCCGTTTTGACATATGTATTGATCGACGATGGCCGTCGTCGTAGTGCAGGATCGACGGTAGGTAGGACGAATGGTTCGTTCGTAATAGTTTGTTTTCAGATAAATCCGTGAATGCTCATGTTAGCTGTTAAATATTATGACATGATGCATGAAATATGTGGCCATTGAGATTGTGTTGTCAACATTACTTGTAGGTCCTGTTATAACTTTTGACGTTCAGAACTTTAATAGCTTCACATCTATTCTCTAACTAGACTGAATTTTATTCACTCTTCTGGAACTCAATGCGACTAATGATGTCGTGCAGTGATAGTGCTTTCAGTGCCAAGTGTTTTAGGAACTTTGCTTATGTTACCTTATGCTAATTTTTTAATTTTGACTTTCAGATTCATTCCAGGCCTAATAACCATTAACTTTTGTAATCTCTGCTTTAGGTTTGCTCTACAGAAGCTTATTCCCTCGATTTTTGACACTGTTATTGGCACGCTTTATTTAGCACTCTCCTGCAATGTTTGGATTGGGTTCATATTTGCTTTGACCGCATTGGCTTACTTCGGTAAAACACAAGTAGTGTATTAAAGGTAACTTGAATTTTTAGTCGTTACCATCTTAATGGTTAAATACTGCATCAAAATCGCATTAGTCACCTGGCGGCCGAACGGCGGCGTAGAAGCGGTCGTTACAGGCTTTCCGGCGAACGTATCCGGGGTAAGAAGCTTCCCCTGTCTTTCGCTAATTATCTTTGATTCAAGTGGTGAAACTTAGGTCGCATTCGTTTGAGTGGCAGTGATTCCAGTAAAAAGTAAATTTGAATTTACGGGTTAAAGAGTTTCCTTCGATTGGGTCGGCTGTCAGCTGTGCAATGTAAAATCACCGGTTTAGCATTTGGATCTTCTCTGTGACTAAGATGCATCATTCTTCAGGTTTAAATGACACTGTTGCTTTGTTTATATGTGTTGAGTTCCTCCTCTGTTTCTAAGGAACCAAGGGAGGGGGACACTTAACAGACCATAACCCACGACATATTAGCAATTGCATTGTATGGGAGCAAATCCCCATCATTCGTTAAATCGAGTAACAATTTTGTCACGGCACCAGCCCAGAAAAACCTATTAATTTATGGGTATATTACTGATATGAAAGTGATTTGAAGAAGTTTTTGTTTCTACCGCATTGTTGGTGTTATCAACAGTTTATTACTCGAACTAAGAACTGATGCAGCTTTTCATGCTTATGCAGCACCTGTTTAAGTATGGTTAAGGCGTGGCGACTAGCTTAAAAACCCGTTGACTCAAACGCAAAGGGCGACTTCATAATGTTGTGTCAGTGAAGGGTATGACACGTAGTAGTTATTCTTGCCATCCTATTGGCCCTAGGAACAGTTTATTGTTCTAATCAAACTGTTACGTGGTGAAACCGAGAAAAAACCTGTTAATATATATTGAAGCCTTCCTTTGCATGCACCAGTGACCCTCTGGGCTTCTATAAGCAAGAGGCAAGGAAATAATGCTGCTTCGCTTGGTGAAGGACGAGAATTAGTCATTCTTAACGGGAGTAAGGAAAGACAATTTTTGCCAACTAAACAAACTATGTTTGAGCAGGCTGTTTAATAATGATTAATAGTTTCTTTAAGTTGAGCGTAACCGCACACCCAATTTCATCCTGTGTGGTGAATTGATTAGCTGTCCGATAGATTTTGAAAAGATGCTGCAGCGATTTTTGATCGAGTGCGTTAGACTGCATCTTCATAAGCCTCGTGAGCACTCGTCCATTTTTATATCAGTGCACCATCACTTCATCCCTGTATGCGCATTTGGCTAGCTTAGCTAGCTTAGTGTAACCTTTATTTTCCGGGATAATTGTTGCGTTTTCCAAGCTATCAGACTGTTTTTTCTGTCTGTTTTATCCATTTTGAATAACAATGTGTTTTTCGGAAAACAATTGAGCTTTCTGTATAATTTTGGTCTGTGTGTAGCTATAACCAGACATTTTTCTATATGCCCTTACTCGCGAACAACTTTGCCATCGTGTTCATTTCTGATCTTCATTATAACATTCTAATATTTATGAACCCTTTGTCGCTTAGATGGTTTGAAATTGGTGTTTATTTTCATTGTGCGCTCTTGGAATGGAAGTTGATGTAAATGTCTCGTTCATTGAATTTATAGATGAGCGATAGCGGAGAACCGTCTGGTGTTTTACTGCTGTTCCACTTGTTACATGCCTTGGTCTTGACAGCAGGATTTGTGTCCGGATTATTATGCGGCTCCTACTTGGTGTTTTCCAACGAAGGCAATTCGCCTTCGTGCTCAGTTGGGGACCTCATTGCTTTTTCCGTCCTACTGGTGCTGGTAGTTCAGTCATTGCATTCGCTTCGGGCCTACATTCTGTAAATTTCTTCATTTGTGTCGTTTTTTTGCTGTCACTGAGTTGTGAAAGTTTCAGGACGATGTTGCAGTGTACATTGGAATCGCAGCAGATATTTAGTCTTTTCCGCAGTCTCTTGGTTAGAGCAGTGCTGCACGAGGCCGCTTTCAGTGGTGCTCTGGGGAGCCAGAGCGTTTTTAATACGATCAAAGAGGACTCTACAACCATCAATACCGTCAATGCGGTCGAATTTTTCGGAGTTTCTTTTTGGTATACCGCTGCCTCACGGCCGGCATTAAACGATCTCATGTTCACAGTCAGCACAGGCCAGACTATTGCCATAGTACAGCTTCGAATTTTAGTGTCCAATTTCTTACTTCTGTTTTGCTGGTTTGATTAGATAGGCTCACCGGGAAGCGGCAAGACCACAATCGCACGTTTGATCCGTGGCGTCATCGACGACTACGAAGGTGATATCATGGTTTGCGGTGAAAATATCCGAAACATTCCGCTGTTAGCATTACAAAAGAAAGTTGCAGTTATTACTCCTGATCTTGTGGCCTTCAACCATACGGTTAGGTATTTGTTAGAGTTTACGTTACACAGCGGTTCCCAAATAATCTTTTAAGTCCTCTCTCCTCAGAGGTTTAAAATCTGATTGGCCCACTGTTAGTACTTTTCACGTTGTTACTTTCTTCTTTTTTTTGCGCAGCAGCTTTCGATATTTATTTTCAAAGTTGAACAATAATGTTAGCTTCGTCTTAGATTAGCCGTGTCATATCAGCGTGGTCTGGCTGAAACACACCAGCTTCTCGATATTTACGGGTATGATGAAGCGGTGGGCCAACCTACCTAGAGGAGATAGTGCTTTATTTTAGTGCTCCAGTTAGTTACCGTTGTGGAAGTGTCAATGTCGATTCATACATAGACCTCAAATTGACGTAATTTATTCAGCGGAAAAAATAGTTGCAGTCTGTAGGAAGATAACCAAATTGGTCTGAGTTGCGGAGAAGATCCTTGGGCCTCAGAGCACAAAGAAAGTGACAAAAGAGGCGAGAGCTGGCGTCTTCCTTAAAGTTCGGAAGTTAGAAGTTATGAAGAACCTTTCCGGCATAGATGATCTAAAAGTAGAACAAGGAGGTGAAGCGCTTGAGGAAGTTTCTCGGCTGCATCACCTTTGACGATGGTACCATTTTATCAGTGTTATATATGAGGATCACTTTAGAATCAAATGCATTTCGAATTCTGTCCAATATTTTGTCCGAGCAAGGGGTATCTTTTTTCCGCAAAAGCCCTCCAAAAGTCCACTGTCAGACCAGTGTTGCTCTACGCCATGGAAGCAGTTTCTCTGGCACGGAAGCAAGAATGACGGTTGTACTGCGTAATTCGTCGTTGACTTCGACGTACAGTAAGGGTTACATCGCTAAATGTCAGGGCCACGTAAGTAATCCCTTGTTTCAGACACAGGTGATATCAGTAGATGTGACGATTAAGAAAAGGAGGTTGGCCCTGTTAGACAAATTGGTTGAGCATATACCATTTACTCCAACGCGACAGCTCTTTGTGTGGAAGCCGAATCACCAGACGTTCACTAGAAGGCCAGTATGCAACATGGAGGAATATGCTAGAGGCAGATCTGCTTTCTGGAAGGAATACTTTCTTCTGCAGCGCAGTAACCGATGCCTTGAAGCAAAAGTGTTAAAAAGCTGCAGACACAGGGGAAGAGCCATATACGTTCTACTTATGCAAACGGCTCAAGGTGATGATCTCAACAAACATGCAAGTAATTTTGGTTTTATTCAGGTTTGCTTATTCACTTCATGTACATCAGAAAATAAACTTGAAATAGAATAAACCGCGTTCATACTTGATTTTAGGTATTTAAATATTGATTATATGCAGTTTCTTTCGATAAAAGGTTCTGAAAAGGTTTTACAGTCGGAAAAGATGCATTGCGACCATGTTAGTGGCCTTAATGCCATTTGATACCATATTTCACGCGTTCCCAGTTTGAGAACCGCTGATATGCTGAAATGACCATTGGAAAACGAAACGAAACTTTACGTTAAGATCTGGTATCGAGGACGGCAAGTTCGACAGTGGTGTCAGACTCGATAATGGAGAAGTGGAGGCGATTGGCAGTTTGGCGAACAGTTCGAACGTGACTTCATCGTATTTTGCAGGTCTGGGCACTTCGTTTATTGGACTGTGGTCATTAGTTTCAGCTGTCTTTGCTTGCTTGCCGAACACGTTTCGTTACGTAAGCTCTGGCTCTGACAGACTTAATGCTTTTATATTGTTGTTATGGCTTTAGTCTTCTGGATCTCCATGTCTTTTTTAATCTTGTCAATTAACTTCTTTGTTCATCCATGCCACATCCTCTTTCCAAATGTCTAACCCTTATTACTTCAGTTATTTGCTCTTGTTACCACTTACAAACTCTGGTTTGCACTACTACTGATCCGTCTTCCTGTTTCTTCTTGAAAAGGAAAGAAAAAGCAGGTCTTCTTCAGCGACTTATTGTTTCTGTTATGCTTTTAGTATCCCAGTTATCAATTAAGTAGGATTTAAATCAGCCTGGCCATCCACCGTTTATGCTGATACTTTGATTATTGTCCCCGCGATAAATAGTCAACGAAAAACACTGTCGCCGCATTCGTACGTGAACTGTTATGCGCACGTATGCTTTGGATAGGATTTCCAAAGTTTTATTGCAGCCCGTTTATTCATTAAGGTTTGAAGCCTGCATTATTATATCCAGCTCGCCCGTGAGTTTTTTTACGTAATTTTAAAGTTTTTTATACATTAATCTTACTTAGACAGTGATGAGGAACACGCAATTTCGGTTGAAGCGTTCTGCTGCTGAAGTGTTCTTCAACGTAACCGTGAGCAGCTGACTTAAATCGTTCATTTTTTAAGATGATGCGGGAGTCGATGGACAGAATCCGGATCAGCGAAACAGAAATACGCGGCTGCGCCTTACGATCAGTCTGGCTCTTTTTAACAATTCACCAGTTATCTTTGTCGATCAGGTGAGTACCTTTCACATACTTTGATTTCTGTAGCTTATACTTCACCTAGGTGGTTTGCGGTGAGACTGTAAACGGAGAATTCGTTAAAGGCAACTGGCGAAAGATTTTCACTGGCAAAACTATCGTCATCCTCACTGATCAGGTTTCTGATGCTCTTCACTGTGACATGATTTTTGTGCTGAAAGACGGACAAATCGTTGAACAAGGAAGGTGAATCTTGCTTAGATATTAAATTTCAGTTTTTTTGTTTAACTTTATTTAGCAGTAATTTATTCAAGAAAAGTATTAGAGTTTGTACTGAAATCCTCGCCTTTGGCTGTTAAGCATCAATACTGATCTTTGCGCAATATTTTATAATCCATTCCATGTCTTTGGCACTCCTCATATGTTATATTTTTCACTTATTTTACTGTAATAGAGATTCTGTTGTGATAACTCAATATGATACTTTTTATTTTGTTCAGTTTCTTTTAACTTTTTCTTGTATATATTCTGTACCACTCAAATTTTGTTTGATATGCTGAAAACGGGAATTCACAGATGATACCATTCCGGCAGTGAAATATTTTTTGATTCAAAGCACCTATGCAAAGCGATTATGTTAAACCGTGGTTGGCGAATATTGCCATGCCTCGAATAAAACTTTGTCTCGAACAGTATCAGGACTGTAAATTCTGATGGATTATGGAGTCTCTATCTGTATTTATGCGTAAGGAGAACATGACGCATTTTTGTTTCATAAATGTCCCCTTGATGAATGGTGACATTTCGTTCAGATCATGTTAATCGTGATTGACTTACTGATTGCAAATTAATCGTAATTAAATTAGTTTTCACTGCTTAAAGCACTAAAATGTGAACTACTTTCGATTTATAGCGTAAACTGTGATGTTCAACACTGTCACACTGTTCTGGTTTGCAGTTGCGCCCTTCCTTTCATGGTAAATACTTTTAGGCACGATGAACTAGTCCGCACCAGTGGCGAGTACTCACATATGTGGCGTCGGCAGTAATTTGAAGATGCTTGTCACTGTTTGATTTCGTTGCACCTCATCAAAGACCACTATTTCAGCTTATCTACGACGAGCAGAACACTCGCCGTTCGAGTGTAACAGTAATCGGTGATCTCGACAATTCTTTACATTTGCCGTGAACGATTATTATCTGTTTATTTCTGTAAAGTCAGCGCATTCGTTTCAAAACTCTTCCTTGACATCTGAAGATCGCTTGATTCCGATTTGACAAAAATAGCTTTGTTCAGGTTGTACTATTATTCTACTACTATTATTCTAAGTGTTGCCTTGTTCAGTTTGGATTTTCTGTTGCCAATTTCCGGACTGCCTTATGATATGGTCTGTTTTCATTTTCATTTTTTGCTATTAAATGTTTTAATTTTGTCCTTAGGCAGTTGTCGTATCGTTGTGTGTATCTGTTGCTTTTCTGAATTTCATATATGCGTATTTATTTTTCACGATAACTTAACTAATTTTTCTCTAGTCTGGCGGAAAGATTCGTTCGTATGACCTTCACAAACTGCTAGGCTGAAAAAAGTCCATCTTACTCATGCTGTAACCATTAGTATTTGGACTGATGGTAAGTGTTATCTTTTTAGTATTTTCGTTTATTTATTCTCCAACTTTAAACACATGCGATACAAGGATCACTATTTGGTACTGCCACCTGGCAGTTGCATTGTGTGCATAGTGTGCCTAGCTGCTGGTCTTCTGGTGCGGATAGGGGAATGACTTCAGAATATGAAGGCTAGCTGCGAAGAATATGCATTTGCGGACAGGCAGCAGTTGGATTATCGGAGCTCGACAAGTTCGATCTTCAGGGAAAAATCACAGCGTTCATTGACAGTTTTATGTGACGGCGATGGACCCATTGCCTTGAAGAAAAAAGACTGCCAGTTTCACCGCTGCCTTGCGGTTTGAGTCGATTTGTCAAAGACTAGAGGTGGAAACTTTGAAAAAGCCGTACAGGATGGGGGAACCAATCTGTACGAAATTCCCCATGCACTGTAAGTCCTGCCAGTGGGTGGCAAGACTTAATGCGC